CGGGGCCAGGCTCGGCGGGGGATGGGGGCGTCTCCTCCCTCGCTCGCTCCCTCCCTCCTTCGGGCCAGGTCCCCTCACCCGTGGCGGCCGCTACGCTGGCCACGCTCCAGCGAGATGAGGTAGGCGGCAAGCTTGGCGTCGCTCCAGCCGCTGCGGCGCCTCAGGTCCACCCAGGGCCCGTGCGCCTCACCCAGGTACACGCGTCGCACGTCGTACTTCTTCCGGGACTCGAGCCGCCGCCGGGCCCGGTCGGACTCTGTGAGCCGCGGCCGGCCGCGCGCCTTCCGGCCCGCCGAGCCCTCGTCTCCCGCTGCCTCCCCGCCTGCGCCCGCCTCCGCCTCCGCCCCGGGCTCCGGCGCCCGCTCCGCCATCCCCCCCTCCCTGGTTACTAGCCTCCCCCGTTGTTAGGAGCCCGGCCGGAAGTGGCGCGCATCTTTCGCGCCGCCGGGAAATTTCTCATAGCTGCTCGCTGCCCCGCGGCGTGAAAAGAAGACCGGGTTCGAGAACTGCGCATGCGTGCGCCGTCCAGGCTCCTCTCAACCTTGAAGCTTACAGTTTGTAGCGGTGCACAAAGTATGCTATTGTTGCTCGGAACCGACCAGTGGCTGACCTTCCAGCGGGGTTTCAGAAGCAGTTAATGAACGGGGGAGCCTGCCCATCCTTCTGCCGTGGAAGAGGGCTGGTGGCCTTGGGATTGCAGCACAGCCTCCCGCCTCTCGGCCACCAGAGTTCCCTAGTGCATAGGGCATGGGAGAGACTAAAGGTTTGTAGCCACCCCCGGTAATCAGAGCTAGATGACCTCTTAGACCCTCAGCAAAGTCCCAGAACTCATCCTAGTGGTACCATCTGGCATTAAAGGGTCAAAGCTTGCAGCCCATTGCCGGCTGCCCCCACCTGAGATCCCGAAGGAGGGATGTCACACCACCGGAAAGGAGGGAAGACGAGAGAACTTTTATTTGCTGTCCACTCCGGGGTCATCTCATGCTTTCTCTGCAGTCTGGCCTCAGGCCGCCCGGCCTGTGTGCAGGCTCAGCTCCTGCTCTGCTGCTGCTGTTGCTGCTGCAGGCTGTCATCCTCTTCCTGGCCCTGAGGTGGTGGTGGCGGTGGTGGAGGCTGCTTCTGCTCTGGGGTGGTTGCCAGGAGCTCGGAGGTGGAGCTTGCCAGGCGGAAGACCACGGGAATCTGGGCTAGGGCAGGGTTGGTCTCCTGCAGGCCCTGGATCCATTTGGCCAATGTGGCCTGATCGTGGGCACCTGCCATGCACATGGCGAAGACAGGCCCTTCCTCCACTGTTGGGAAAGAAGAGCCCTCAGAGTTAGTGCCGTGGGGGCTGGAGCTCCTTTCCTGCATCTGACAACTCCTTTAAGGCCGAGGGCAAGAGCTTTCCGCTTCCTTTATGTGTGCTGACAAGCCCTCCTCTCTGCCTTGACTGCCCTCACTTTGCTTCACCTTCAAGTTCAAGATTCCAAGAAGCCTTGTAACAACTTTGCCCGCAGCCTGCTGTGCCCCTCCCCCAGGCTCCCAAGAATGGAACTAGCATAGTTTCTTGCTGGTCTGAGCTTAGAGAGGGCAAGGACTGGCTCTGGTCGCACTCAGCAGGGAGTAGCTCTGACACACAGACTTCTGGAAGGACTAACCAAGGCCTGGTAGCTGACCATGGAGTATGCTTGGGGGCCTTTGGGCCTGGAGTCCTCTGAGGTGGGAGCGTGTGTGTACAAGCACCACTGCTGGGTCTGTGTGGCAAGTGGGCCCCCTCTGCCTGGGCCCCAGCCCTGGGCCCCACAGCCTGCCCCTCTCACGTGCTTCCTACCTTCATCGATATCAAACTCGTAGTCATCCCAGCCATCCCTCCCGTACTCCAGGTCAAGCTGCATGGGGTAGTAGAGGTTCCACTCCTCTGGAATCTCTTCTACTTTCTGCTCCAGAAAGGAGGGTGCAGGCCAGTGAGCTTCCTGCCCCCTCCATCCTCCCAGCAGCCGCCCTCTCCCTCTAGCCTGCACCGCAGTGCCCTTCCCAGGAGCCCTTGGGTGGTGCCAGGTCACTGCCAGCCCCCATACTCACCCTCTCCTCAGGAGGCAGCAGGTCAGCTCTGAGGATGTGGTAGTAGACACACTTATTGTGGAGCCACAGGGAGAAGGGGCCCTCGACAAAGATAGGCCGGGATGGATCGTGCCGGGCCAGGGCAGCCTGCTGTTCAGGGCTCTGGATTCCTGATGTGGAGATATGCGCACACTTGGGCCCTGGCTAAGGGGTTTGGTCTGCAGACCCTGGGAATCCACCCAGCAGTCCCCCTAGGCACCTGACATGGAGGGTACAGAGCTTACCTACAATGTGGGGCTGGGTGGGATCTGCTGCCCCGGTGGAGTCTTTGGACAGAGGCATCTGCAAGGAAGAGTACAGGTGGAAACTGTGCCTCCTCATATCGACAGAGGAGCCGAACATCTACTAGGCCTCCTACACACCGCTCAATCCCTCCTCCCTTCCATGGACGTGGTCAGTGTTTAAGATGTTCACACTGAGGCGACCCTGGGGTCCTCGGGCTCTGTCCCAAGTGAGTGGTGTGACTGGCGAAATATTTTTATCATGGTGCCTCTGTTTCCTGCAGAGCAAACTGGGGATGGCACCAGCAGCATTGATTTCAGATAGTTCTGAGATAATTAAGTGCCATGTGCTTATAAAATAAATATAAATCCACGCACATGTCCTAGGAAGGCGATTCAAGGGCAAGGCTCAAGTGCACGTCACTGTGCAGACTGAAGGCAGAAGACCCTGTTGTATCTTCTCAGTTTGATTCCCTAAGCATGATTATTATTCAAAGAAAAAATGGAATTTTTAAAAAATGCACTTGTTCTGATCATGCTAATGTGAAACCTATACTTGGACCAAGAGGCAGTTGTCAGAACAGAGCAAGGAAACACTGCATGGTTCAAAATTGGGAAGGGGGTACGCCAGGGATGTGTCCTGTCTCCATACGTTTTCAACCTGTATGTAGAACAGATTATCTGGGAGGCAGGGCTCTATGAGGAGAAGTGTGGTGTCAGGATGGGTGGGAGATCTATTAACAATCTGCGTTATGCGGATGACACAATCCTGCTTGCTGAAACTGAGGCGGACCTGAAGCACCTGCTGCAGAGGGTCAAGGACTGCAGCCTCCAATATGGATTGAGGCTCAATATCAAGAAGACAAAGATTCTCACCACTGGACCAATTGGCAGCATCAGGGTGGATGGTGAAGAGATTGAGATTGTTCACAGCTTCAGTTTGCTTGGCTCCACAGTCAACACTCTCGGCACCAGCAGCCAGGAAATTAACGCGTTGCTGCACCCTTTTTAAATTGACGACCGTGCTTAGAAACATATTTGCCGGCAACATGTTATAAGACGTACTGCGATGTGAATGTTGGCTGTTAGGGACCTCTCCAAAGAGCAGTGTGACTGAGACTAAGGTGTGTCTGATACAGACCATGGTCTTTGCAATCACTTGTTATGCATCAGAGAGTTGGACAATGACTAAGGAGGATAGGAGAATTGATGCCTTTGAGCTGTGGTGCTGGAGAAGAGTATTGAGAATACCATGGACTGGTAGGAAAACAAACAGATTTATCCTGGAGAAGGTTAAACTGTGTTGCTCCTTGGAGGCAAGGATTCTGAGGGAGGGTGGAAGGACAGCACAGGAGGAGAAGACCCTCTATGAGGTGGACTGATTTAGTGACTGGGGTAATCAGGATGGGTGTATCGGAGACAGTAAGATTGGCTCAGGAAAGAGCAGAGTTTAGGGCTGTTGTACATGGGGTCGCTATGAGGGGCAAGTGACTCGATGGCACATAACAACAACAACTGTGACCAAAACATCCAATAATAGACAAGTGTTGAAACGTGGTTCATCCTTTGAGGTTAAAAAAGAAATGAGATGGCTTGGTGGGTGCAAACTTAAGGCAGGTTCCAGACTAAGTTATTACATTAAAAAAAAAAGGCAGCAAAGATGCAGAACATGTATATTGCTTTTGGGAAAGCATGTTTTACTACTAGTAGGTGTTGCTGTTAGGTGCCATCAAGTTGAGCATGACTCATAGCGACCCTATGAACAAAAGATCTGAAACCAGACCTGTCCTGCACCATCCTCACACTTGCTGACACACAAGGGCCCACTGCAGCAGTCACCTTGTCAGTCTACCTCTCTCCTTTACTGACCCTTGCCAACGACATGTCCCTCTCCAAGGCAATATGTTCAAAGTATGTGAAGCAAAGCCTCATCATTTCTGTCTCCAAAGAGCACTCTGCACTCTCTCCAAGATATATCCACCACATTAGTTTTCTTGGCTGTCCATGGAATGTTCAATGCTCTTTTCCAACACCACAGCTCAAAGTCCTTATTCACTGTCCAGGTCTCAGATGCATAGCTAGTAATAGGAAAGACCGTGATCTGAATCAGACGTACCTTAGTCCTCAAACTGACACCATTACTTCTCAATAATTTGGAAAGGTCCCTAACTGCAGATTTTCCCAGTATAATGTGTCTCCTTATTTCCTGATTGCTTGTACTAAGGGTGGTAATTGTGGATCCAAGCAAGATGAAGATGCTGACAGTTTCAATTTCCTCCATCCACTGTGGTCAGCTATGGGCTTGTTCCACCAGGCGGTACATAACAACAACAACATACATAAAATGGCTTTGAATTTACTAACCAGAAAAATGAAGAGATTAAATTTTAGGTTATTCTGAAGCTATTTCCTTGGAATATACGCCACCATTATAGTCAACCACATTCAACAATAACTTGGAATTTTTTTAGTGATTTTATTATCAATTAGAAATGTAGTCACATTTATCGGTTTTCAACTTTGTTTTCTTCCCTTTTTGGTTTTATGTCCTCTTGACTTCTCCCCTCTGATGCCCCCAGAAGGAATTCCTTTTACTAACTTATAACTTGATGTTCTGGTGTTTCCTTTGTGAGGTAAGCAAAAGCATAAATGCGCTATTATATCTCTTCCCTTCTCACACTTAACGTAACCCACAGAACACACTGCTCTTTATTACCCTTTATTGACTGCCATCCTTTCAACTGTTCATTTCCCAAGCTGCTCAGGATGCTAAAACAAGGTGATGCAGCTGGTGTGACAGTGGTCACCACCAGGGAGGAGCTCGTGCTGGAGGGCCAGAGGCTGAGAAGTGTGCCCTTGTGTACTGTTTGGCTTGATTACCATGTAGATGTGTTAAGTTAGAAAAATGAAGTTGTTAGTTGTTATGTGCCGTCGAATCGCCTGCGACTCATAGCCCTAAATCCTGCTCTATCCTGTGCCAACCTCACTGTCTCTGACACACCTATCCCATTATCCCAATCACTGAATCGATCCATCTCATCGAGGGTCTTCCTCTCCTGCGCTATCCCTCCACTCTCCCAAACATGGTGTCCCTCTCCAAGGTCTGGTCCCTCTTTGCAACATGCCCAAAGTATGTCAGATGAAGCTTCAGAATCCTTGACTCCAAGGAGCAGCCTGGCTTCACCCTCTCCAGGACACACCTGTTCGTTCTCCTAGCAGTCCATGGTATACTCAGCACTCTTCTCCAGCACCACAGCTCAAAGGCATCAATTCTCTTTCCATCATCCCTAGTCACTGTCCAACTCTCTGACGCATAGCACTTAATTGCAAAGACTATAGCCTGGATCAGGAGCACCTTAGTCTCCAGCCCATCACTGCTCTTCAGTACTCTGGAGAGGTCTCTGACAGCTGACTTTCCCAGTGCAATTCGTCTCTTGATTTCCTGGCTACTGGTAGCAAGAGTGTTAACTGTGGAGCCAAGAAAACTAAAACTGTTAACTATATCAATCTCTTTACCATCCATACTAATGCTGCCAATTGGCTCAGTGGTGAGAATCTTTGTTTTCTTGATGTTGAGCTTTAATCCATATTGAAGGCTGCAGTCCTTGACCTTCTGCAGCAAGCGCTTCAAGTCTCCCTCAGTTTCAGCACGCAGGGTTGTTGATGAATCTTCCACCAATCCTTATGCCACATTCCTCCTCATACAGCCCAGCATCCCAGATGATCTGTTCTGCATACAGATTGAAAAGGTATGGAGACAGAATACATCCCTGGCCCCTTCCCAATTTTGAACCATGCCAATGGTTCCTTGCTCTGTTCTGACAACTGCTTCTTGGTCCAAGTATAGGTTTCACATTAGCACAATCAAATGTTCTGGGATTCCCATTCTTCTCAGAGTCAGCCACAGCTGCTTGTGATCCACACAGTCAAAAACCTTTGCATAGTCAATGAAGCACAGATAGACATTCCTCTGGTACTCTCTGCTTTCTGCCAAGATCCATCTAATAATGGCTATAATATCCCTAAGTACCACGACCTCTTCAAAACCCAGCCTGCACTTCTGACAGTTCTCTGTTGACATACTGCTCCAGTCATTTTTGGATAATTTTCAGCAGAATCTTGCTTGCATGTGATATGAAGGGATGAGTTAAAAATTGCTTTTCCAACTAATAATAATAAAAAAATTTTAAAAAATTGCTTTTCCATTCTGTGGGTACACTCAAAGACAAGTCTTGGTCCTTTCTCACTTGTACACTGTGGTTGCTTCTTACCCTGCCACACTTGGTCCTTCTGCCAAATTGCCATCCACTGTCATCTATCTATCTATCTATCTATCTATCTATCTATCTATCTATCATCTATCTCTCTATCTATCTATCTATCTATCTATCTATCTATCTATCTATCTATCTATCTATCTATCTATCCTGTAGCTGTGTGACTCCGACTCCATCACTCCTGCAGTGTTCCCACAGCTCTCTCCACCAAGCAATAGGTTTTACCTCAGGCTTTTTAACCTGGAGTGCCTATGCCTTTTCTTCCCCAGCCCATCACCATGGTGTCCTGCCCCTGGTCACAGGAAGCCCCTGCAGCATCCCCAGGAACTCCCAGCTCTGTTCTGAACCCTTGTACATGTTATTCTCCCTCTGTTTGGAATACTCACCATGTCCTACTCACTCTGCCCAAGTTCAGCTCACTCTCACCTCCTCCAGGAAGTCTTCCTTGACCCCTGACTCCTCCTAGTATCTGGGGCTTTGTGAAGGCCTCTTTGGATACCCAACATAGCCCCTGGGATACTAGAGTCACTTCATTTAGTCATCCAACAAGTGACTGCCTTGTGCTGGACTCTGTGCTGGACACTTGGGGAGATTCAGGGAAACAGATTCACGGTGTTTGCCCCTTGGGGAACTCTAGTTTAATGGGCAAGAGAGATCGTGAAGGACGAACCACATAAAGAAATGTGCCCAGTACGAGGAAGGTGGCCCTCATGAGGGCTAGTAGTTAGGAAAGCATCCTGAAGAAGGAAGAGGAACCGAGGCACGAACAGGAATTCCCTAGGAACTCTTCCAGAGGGAAGAGTCTGTGCTAGGTAACAGAAGGGTAGGGAGAGGGCTGGGGCAGGTGAGAGGCCGGCAGAGCCTGGTAAGTTGCAGTGAGGAGGGCTCGGGCACCAGTGACCAGGTAGGGGAAGTGAAGCCTAGGTGAGCAACTATGGTGCCCAGTCAGGTGGTGGCTGAGAGTGCGCTGGGGCAACAGATACCTGGTAGACGGAGACCTGGGCGCTGAGGTCGGGCTCTATGTGCCGCAGGCCCAACCTGGCCAGGTCCACGGGGTCCTGGGGCAGCTCCCGGGGCACAGGGAAGGGGTTGATGTTCTTGAAGCGGGTCTGCCACAGCCTCATGCGTGTGTACTTGAGCATCGGTAAGCTTCTGTGGCCAAAGATCTGAAGAAGCAGGAACTCCGTCTCTTTATTGGGTATCACCCCTGTGGAGGCAGAGCCCCGGGAGGGAGAGATGGAGAAAGAGACCAAGAGTTAAGAAGCAGGCACCATGGAAGTCAGGGATACAGAAGATGGGCATGAGAGAAAGATGGGGCTGGGAGGAGTGAGAGGAAGGGATGGAGGGGACCTGGGACCCAGGATCTGAGCGGGAACTGCCCTGAGGGCCCCAGCAGCCCTGGTCAGCGCTGGTGGCCTCACCCACCATGGTTCTCCATCTGCTCCAGGACAGTGACGCCGCACTCCTGCTGCGGCGGGTAGTGCAAATATATGCGCTGGAAGATGTTGCGCGCCCGAAAGACGTCCTTGGGGAAGATGTCGAGCAGCATGTTGTAGACGGCCAGGTCCCGCTCCACGCCGTACTGACGCATCTTGCTCAGGGCCAGGTAGATGAAGTCCACATGCCCCCGCTTGCGCACGTTGTGCTTTCCGAAGTTCTGAATGGCCTGCACAAAGCTCGCCTTGTCCTGCTTGCTGCTGGGGCTAAACAGTTCCTCGTGGGGCATCACGGCCTTGACGGGAGCCCCCCGCGAAGGCTCCGGAGGGCGTGGGACCAGTGGGGAGTCAGAACGGAGGCTGGCTGCGCTGCAGTGGAGGCCCTGCAGGGGGACCTGGGGACAGAGGGCTGCCACTAGAATCGGACGCCTCCCAAGGCCGTGCAGGGGCTGCCAGGCTGGGAGCCACCCCTTAGGCGGCCCTGGGGAAGTGTGGTGCCTGGTTATAAACCTCCTGCCAAGTATGATCACACAGTGCTGGCACGGCTGTGCGGAAAGTGGTGCTCGCCCACTGCTGGTGGTCACGGAAAGCCCGTGGAGGGATCCCGCAGCAATCACCGTGGTTACAGGCCAGCAGGGCCCACGTACCTGCGTAGTGACTTCTGTCCAGAGTTACCCACTGCTGTAGTGGAAATGGCCACATACCCATGGGCAAGGGAATGCTGAAACCAGGGTCCGAGCACCTGGACAAGGAGCCCCTATGGCTGTAAACCCAACTGAGCAGGGTCTTGCTGTGGCTCCGGGGACTATCATTAAATGACAAAGTGTGAAACCATGTAGACTGGCTTTCCATTTGTTTGGAAAAGGCGTCCATTTGTTGTTGCTGTGTGCCACTGAGTCAGAATCATACTATTCAACTGCAAACCCAAAGGCTGGCAGTTCAAACCCAGCAGGCCGTCCACGGGAGACAAGATCTGGCAGCCTGCTCCCACCCGGGCCAGCCCCACAGGGTCACTGCGACCTGGAATCTATTCAAGGGCGCACAGTATGTTGGAGCCGCCAGAGCCTCTGTGAGGTCCCAGCTGCCAGTTTTCCTGTTAGCAGCTGCACAACTAACCCTTGACAGTCAGCATGGGGCGTGTGCTCTACTCCCCTCAGCCTGGACAGGTATAAAACATCTCCGCAAAGAAATGCAGAAAGCACGTCACATTTTTTGCCTCCAGAGAGAAAACTAAGTGGCAGGTGGACCAGAGGACGGATTCGTGCCATGGTGCAGCCTCAGGACTTTTTGAATTTTGAGCTCTGTGATTAACTATGATGAACCTATTCCAAAGGCAGACTTACAGACTTTGGCATCAGCCGGAATCTTGGCTACACCGTTCCTAGCCAGGAGACCGCTAGCGTCCCCTATGAGAGTTTGACAGTTGGGCCTCAGTGAAGGATATTTTGTTCCCCAGAGTGGGGAGGTCATGTTAAACAGGAGTTGGCAAACCATGGCCAACAGGCCAAACCATACGAATTGCCTGTTTTTCTAAATAAAGTTGTTGGGTTTTTTTTATTCCTAAATAAAGTTTTACTGAACATAGCCGTGCTAACTCATTTCTGGATTGTCTGTGGCTCCTTTAGTGTTCCAGTGGCAGAGCTGAGTGCTTATGACACCACAAGGCCAGAAAGATTTACTATTTAGCTCTTAAAAAGATGTGAACAAACCCTACTCCAGATGGTATATTAACAGTATTAATTGGAGTGTTTAAATTAGAATGGCTACATAAAAGGCATCTTTAAATGTGAGACTCATTTAGTTTTTACAACTGTACGATGAGGGAGGCGTCTTACTGTACAGATGAGTAAACAGCCCCAGAGAGAGAAAGCGGCAGGCGTGCTGCCCACAGTGGCAAAGCAGCATAAGTAGAGGCTGGCCTGTGCTCTCAATCCCTCCCCTCTCCTCGGCGGTCTCCACAGATGGAGTTCACTCCCACTTACTGTGACCCTATCAGGCAGGCTAGGACTGTCCCGAAGGGTTTCCAAAGCTGTAAGTCTCTGTCTTTATGGGAGAAAAGGGAGAAGGGAAGGTGTTGATTTAAGTTGACGTTTTAGGCAACGAGCACAAGAAGAACGAGTCCTGGTTGATTGACTAGGTTAGAATTAGGTTGTTACCGGAAAGGTCAGCAGTTCAAACCCACTCCTGATCCCTGGGAGAAAAGACTTGCTTCTATTAGTATCACAGCTTTGGGGACCGGAAGGAATTGTTCTATTCTGTCCTACAGGGTTGGTTTGAGTTGGAACTGACTCAATGGCAATGGATTTGGCTCTTTTATTAGTTCTTTAAGGCAGTATATAAGCCTCCAATATGGACTGAGGCTCAATGTCAAGAAGACAAAGATTCTCACCACTGGACCAATTGGCAGCATCAGGATGGATGGTGAAGAGATTGAGATTGTACACAGCTTTAGTTTGCTTGGCTCCACAGTCAACACTCTTGGCACCAGCAGCCAGGAAATTAAAAGGCGCATTGCCATGGGAAAGTCTGCTGTTAGGGACCTCTCCAAAGTACTGAAGAGCAATGGTGTCTCTCTGGAGACTAAGGTGCATCTGATACAGTCCATGGTCTTCACAATCACTTGTTATACATCAGAGAGTTGGACAATGACTAAGGAGGATAGAAAGAAAATTGATGCCTTTGAGCTGTGGTGCTGGAGAAGAGTATTGAGAATACCATGGACTGCTAGGAAAACAAACAGATTTGTCCTGGAAAGGGTTAAACCAGGTGGCTCCTTGGAGGCAAGGATTCTGAGGCTCCGTCTAACATACTTTGGACATGTTGTGAGGAGAGACCGGTCCTTGGAGAGGGACATCATGCTTGGGAGGGTGGAGGGACAGCGCAGGAGAGGAAGGCCCTCTATGAGGTGGATTGATTCAGTGACTGGGATAATCGAGATGGGAGTGTCAGAGACCGTGCCATTGGCACAGGACAGAGCAGAGTTTAGGGCTGTTGTACATAGGGTCGCTATGAGTTGCAAGCGACTCGACGGCACATAACTACAACAATAACATAAGGCAGTATGGTTAAGGAGGAACCACACATAAAGGGAGTTCTGGTGACCTGGTGGTAAGAAGCTGCCCTGTAATCTCAAAGATATGCGGTTCAAATCCACCAGCTGCTCTGTGGAAGATGGGCATTTTCCTCCTCTGCACTTAGCTGCTTCTAAAAACCTGCCAGAGGGTCAGCTATGTGTTGGTTCCTCTCGACGGTACACAACAACATAGGTAGTATATGCATGGGTGAAAATTGGAAAGGAAACTTTGGAATACCCAAAGTACGGGAAACAATGCAAGTGACATAATGCAGGACCTAGCACAGAGTACATGCTCCATAGAGGCGCTGTTAACATTATCACCTCCCCTGCTATCTGTGGCCTTAAATTACCTGGTCATTTTGGTAAGGGAAAGAAATTCCATTTTCTGTGCCCATCTTTAGAGGCCAATGTAAGAAGAGCCACTGGAATCCACTGAACTCCTCCATCCTTAGTTTTAAAAGCCCACTTCTTCACCCTTGTGGGCACCAGCCCCTCTTAACATAAGTTAACGTAAGTTAGGGATCTTCAACCTCACAGCAGACGGGCTAGCTCAGACCCCTCATAGCTGGCTTCTAGGATAGATTTTTAAGGGGTTGGGAGCAAATCCAGGGCTTCCTCCTCGACCCGGGCCGAGGGAACTAACATCCAGCTGGCTGTTACCTGAGAGAAAGAGGATCCCGTGAGGGCTGGCCCGCAGATGCCTCCCCAGCCCCGAGAGAGGGCCCGGGCCAGCGAGATGGCTTGAGTCCAGCTCATGGCTGCTTGTCAGACGATCACCTGGCCGAGAGAAGAGATGAGATGCCCTCAGTCTGGTACCATTACCCACTAATAGAGACCAGAATCCTCTCACAGGCTGTGACTACATTCCAGGCTGCATAGCTAAGTTACCCCAGGACGAGGTTCCTCATCTATAAGACAGGGCTTTGCTGACTCTTTTTTCTTTTTAATTTTTATTTTATTATTTTTTGTGTGTGTACCATCAAATTGGATCTGACTGGTACAGGAGGAGATGGCCCCTCCTTCTCCGGCAGAGTATCTGGTGGATTCGAACCGCATATCTCTGGGATTACAGTGCAGCTTCTTGCTACTAGGCCACCAGAGCTCCTTTGCTGACTCTTAAAATGAAGAGCCCCTTGTTCTGCTGGCCCCAACCCTTCACTTTCTCGAGGAATTTGCTTCTGCAGTGCTTCCCCTCTTTACAGGATCATTCTTTAAGAGCCATATGCATCTACTACACAGTTCACCTTTTTAAAGTGCACAACAGAGCAACTTTTAGTGCATTCACAAACTAGTGTAGCCATCACTGCAATCTAATTTCAGAGCATTTCTGTCACTCCCCAAACCTCTTTACCCAGTAACAGTCGCTAAATGTCCTTCTAAGCTCAGTCCTAAGCAGTCATTAATCTCTCTTCTGTAGATTTGCCTTCCTGGCCACTTTACTGTAAATGGAGTTAACGTGTGCTTGGCATGTCCTGCTTCTTTTACTTAGCATGGGTTGTTTTTTTCCCCTTTTCTCTTCAGAGATCAGTTCTCATTTATTCATTCATTACTTTTTAATTTTTTAAATTATTATTAATTTTAATAAAAATTTACAGAGACTTTAGATTTCCATTCATTCCTTGTTGCACTTTTCTCCCTGCCCACCCCTTCCCCCCAGTTCGCTCTTCTCTTTGAAAAGTAAAAGAAAAATTCTTTCATTGTTTTATAATCCCTCCCCCCAGGTCCACCCCACTATGCAGACTTTGTTCTGGACTCCTGTCATGACAATAATCCCTAATCACATAACCCTTTTAAACAGTTCTCTCCCTCATCTGTTTCAATGCAGTATACATTATTTATCCCATCTTTCTCAGTCTCCCCCCAACCCTGATGTCAGTCCCATTTTACAACAGTGGCACCATGCAGTATTTGTCCTTTTGTGACGGATATATTTCACTCGGCATAATGTCCTCCAGGCTCACCCATTTTGAATAATATTGCATGAGTTCGTTGTTGTTCAGTGCTCCATAGTATTCCATTGTGTGACTATAACAGAGGTTCTCTATGCATTCGTTTGTTGATGGGCACTTGGGTTGTTTCCAAATCTTTGCTATTGTGAACAAAGCTGCAGTAAACTTGCATACTTAGCATGGTTTTAAGGTTCATCCATGTTGTAGCATGTTGTTGTTGTTGTTATGTGCTGTCAAATCACTTGCGACTCATAGCGACCCTATGTACAACAGCCCTAAACTCCGCTCTGTCCTGAGCCAATCGCACTGTCTCTGACACTCTCATCCCAATTATCCCAGTCACTGAATCAATCCATCTCATAGAGGGCCTTCCTCTCCTGCGCTGTCCCTCCACCCTCCCAAGCATGATGTCCTTCTCCAAGGACCGGTCTCTCCTCACAACATGTCCAAAGTATGTTAGACGGAGCCTCAGAATCCTTGCCTCCAAGGAGCCACCCGGTTTAACACTTTCCAGGACAAATCTGTTTGTTTTCCTAGCAGTCCATGGTATTCTCAATACTCTTCTCCAGCACCACAGCTCAAAGGCATCAATTCTCTTTCTATCCTCCTTGGTCATTGTCCAACTTTCTGATGCATAACAAGTGATTGCGAAGACCATAGCCTGTATCAGATGCACCTTAGTCTCCAGAGAGACACCATTGCTCTTCAATATTTTGGAGAGGTCACTAACAGCAGACTTTCCCATGTACAGAACTTAATTTCTTTTTACTGACCCCTTCCACTCCCCAGTACCATTGTACAACTCTGACTTTGGCTGTTTTATTTATGCACTTGAAAAGTGGCTCTTAAAATATTCTGGTTGTTAAAGTGGAAAACCACACCAAACCAGTCTGGTTGTTTCTACTTTTGATACTTCTATGAATGTCCAAGTTTTGTGTGATATTTTTAAAATTTTATTATTTTTTGTGCATTGTACCGTCAAATCAGATCTGACTGGTATAGGAGGAGATTGCCCCTCCATCTCCAGCAGAGTATCTGGTGGATTTGAACCAGGTACTTCTGGGATTGCAGTGCTACTTCTTGCCACTAGGCCACCAGAGCTCCTGAATGTCCAAGTTTTTGTGTGAACATTTTGAGGAACTGCCAAACTGTTTTCCAAGGGGGCTGTATGCCTATCTACATAAGAGCTCCAAAATGCCTCACTGCATCATTGTTGATATGTGCTGTTTAGTTGCCTGTGACCCAAAGTGATCCTACATACAGCAGGTCTGAAGCCTGCCACATCCCAAGCCAGTCTCACTGACTCTTGACGCATTACCCCAGTTACTGCATCAACCCATCTCATCTGGGGTCTTCCTCTCCTGTGCTGTCCCTCCACCCAAACCTGCATTGTTGTTGTTGTAGAATACCATCAAGCACGACTCATAGCAACCCTATGAACAAAAGGCCTAAAGCTTATTGATAATTATTAAAATTTCTCAAAGTTCATAGTTTCCAGAGGTTTGTTGTTTAGGAAGTGGATGCCATTCCTGCTGCAATTTTCCCCAACACATATTATTACCTGTTCTTTTATTAGAGATGTTCTTGAACGAGTTCTGGTGGGCTAGTGGTAAGGAGTTGCATTGCCAACCCAAAAGCATCTGGTTCAAATCCACCAGCTTCTGTGGGAGAATGTCTCTTCCTGTGAGATTTACTGTCTCTAAAATCCTGCTATGACTTGGTCAGCTATGAATTGGTTCTAACTTGACAGCAAAGAACAACAACATTGGCATTTTAACAAGGTTGTCTTCTTTTTTAAAATTTTTTTATTTTAAAGTGGGTTAAATATTTTTATTTTATTATTTTTGTGTGAGTGTACTATCAAGTCAGACCTGACTGGTACAGGAGGAGACTGCCCCTCCTTCCCCAGAAGAGCATCTGGTGGATTCGAACTGTGCACCTCTGGGATTGTAGTTGCAGCTCCTTGCCACCAGGCCACCAGAGCTCCCCTAGCAAGGTTAAGTCTTCTGAGACATGGGATGTAATGTTCTCAAGTCATTTAGGTCTTCTTTAATTTCTTCCAACCATGTTTTATAGTCTTTGGCATGTTTTAAAGTCTTGGGCTTCTTTTGCTAAATTTATCCTTAAGTATGTGGTTTTATGAAGACATTGTAAATAGAATTGTTTTAATTCCATTTTTGCACTGTAGTTTGTATATAGAGGTATGCTTCTATATATTAATCTTGTAGTTTTCAGTTTTGTTGGCTTCATTGATTGGTTCAAATAGGTTTTTAGTGTTTTCCTTAGGATTTTCTATAGAGGAAACTATGTCATCTGTAAATAAGATTTTATGTCTTTTTCATTTGGATACCTTTCATTTACTAACTTTTCTTGCTTAACTGCCCTGGCTAACATGCCCAGTACAATGTCAGAAAAGTTGAAAGCAAACACCTTGTCTTCCGGTGATTTTTGGAGAAAAGGGCCCACCGTTATACCATGAAATACAATGTCAGCTGTGTGGGTTTTCATAGATGTCATGTTTCAGGTTTGTAGGAAGCCAAATTTCATAATAAATATTTGTAATAAACCTAATGCTCTATCAGGATATGAAGAAGGCTGATACAAGCTGGACTTCACCCTGAAGCACTAAGGCAATCCTTAAATGTTTACGGCACATTTACAGGATTCTTGTACTGTATTTGCTAATCCCTCCCTCCTGAGTCAAGCATAAGGTTTTCAATAGAATGTGCTTAGCTTCATTTGCATTCACTTATCTTTGTTATTTGCTCCCTAGCAATTTCCAATAAAGGTACAGGGAAACAGAGACCAGCCTTTAGTTGTTGGAGTTCGCCTCTTGCTCTACCTCTTTATTACTTATACATTCTTGGTGTTCTGTCTCATTATTAATACTTTACCCTTGGTCTGCAACACACGTTAAGGGAAGTCCTTTCTGTTCCTAATTAGTTGTTTTTTATCAATGAAAGATATTGGATTTTGCCAATTCCCCCCCACCCCGTGTCCTCTGAGATGATATATATATATATCTCCTTTATTAATATGGTAAATTACAGATTTTTGGTTGCTAAAGTGATCTTGCATTTCTGAGATAAATCATAGTGCATAGTCCTTTTTACATGTAGTGTGTTACATGCTGGGCTGCTAACCAAAAGCTTGGCAGTTGGAATTCTCTCGTCACTCAGAGATCTGCAGTGTGGAACTCTTATGGAGGGGGTTGGGGGGGTGGGTGAGTGGAGAGGATTTAATTTGCTAGTATGTTGTTTTTCTTTTGATAATATGGTGCTGCCAACTCAAAGGCAGGCAGTTTGAATACAATGGGGCTGCTCCACAGGAGAAAGATGGACAGTCTTCTCCTGTGCTGTTTACAGCCTCTGAAAACCCACTTGTGGCTGTTGTATGCCCTCAAGTTGACTATGACTCATGAGAATCCTATGAATAAGAGGTCTGAACCCTGCTGTCTTTAGCCAATCTCACTCTCTGTCACACCTGCCCACATAGCCAGTCACTGTGTCAATCCATCTCATGCAGGGGCTTCCTCTCCTGCACTGACCTTCTCTACCCATTCCAAGCATGATGTCCTTCTCCAAGGACTGGTCCCTCCTGGAAACATGCCCAAAGTATGTGAGAAAGCTTCACCATCCTTGCTTCCAAGGAGTTGCTTGGTTTCACCCTCTCCAGAATAGACCTGTTTGTTCTCTTGGTGATCCATGGTTTATGTTCAATACTTTTCTCCAGCACCACAACACAAAGGCATAGATTCTTCTGTCAATCACTGTCCACCTTTCAGGTGCATAGCAAGTAACTGAGAAG